TTAGTTTGCTTGAGGACAAGCAAAGGCTTAAGTGTGGGGGAATCTGATAAGTCCGTATTTAGACACGCATTTGATGCGTGTTGGGATCGACTTTTGATGGTTTTCCTAGCTTTAAGGTGTTACAAGTCTCAATTTTAGCTCAAGTTATGTTTAACAGGCATTGGTTCGAGTTTTGTGTCATTTGGAGTCAAAATCAGGATTTTAGAGTTCAACATCGGCACTTGAGGAGCAATCGGGATGATTCGAGATGCATTTGAGTGTTGATTTGAGAGCTATGGAGGTCACCGGTAGGTTTACGATGAAGATTTAATGACAAAAGAGCTCTAGGATTGGCTATGGGATCAAAAAGAAGATGAATGAAGCTTGAAAACGACGATCAGGATGACCTTCTGTCAATCGGGCAAGCATATCTCTTTGTAGAAGCATCCAATGAACACGATTCAAAGTCCACATGAAAGCCAACTTCAAGATCTACAAATCATATGAAGACATCATTCCTAGAATCTGAGAGGAAGAAGATGAAAACAGACGATGAAGTCAGATGATCTCTGCTGCGATCTCAGAATGACACCTTCCACCGTTTTGATCATATCTCTTGATTGGATGATTCAAATCACATTCGGCAAATTGGGTTGGATAGAAGACTTCATCATCTACAACTTTCATGAAGAAAGTTTTGTCAAATTCGGAAGTTTTACGCACGCCGTGCGTCCGGGTACGCACGCCGTGCGTCCAAGGCGTTAAATTGAAGGGAGCTACTGGCAGCAACGCACGGCCGTGCGTCCTGGTACGCACTCCGTGCGTTCAAGGCATTAAAATGGCGAAAGGCTACTGGCAGCAACGCACGGACGTGCGTAGGGGAACGCACTCCGTGCGTTGCCTATTTTCACGCGCAGGTCCGTCGGACGCACGGCAGCAACGCACGCCGTGCGTAGGCTCCGTGCGTACCGCGGATCTGTCCTTTTTCGACCCAAACTCATTGTTTTCTATAAATAAAGCCTCCCTAACCCCGTTTTGGGGGGGGGGGGACCTAGAGAGAAGCTTAGGGACGTGTTTTACAGTGTTTTTCCGCTATTTTGTTCAAGACCCTGAGATTCTTTGTAAGTTTCATCTTTTTAATTAATGACAATTATTTCTATTCATCCCAATTCTATTGATTCTTCAATTATGAATCGTGAGTAGTTTAATTAGGGATTTGGGGTTGATGAAGGGGTTAATCATGATGTATGGCTAGATTCTTGTCGGTTTAATTGCATGAATGTCGTTTAATTTGTGTATGAATAATTTAACTGATATCTCTTGTAACCTAGATGGCCACTAGAATTACAATTGCTTGTAGAATGAATTAAGAGAGATCTAATTTGTTCTAGGACACATTCACACACACTTAATCGTTCGCTAAGAGATTAGTAGCGATTAAGGGGCCGTAAGCTCGCTCGTCTTGGCAGTAATTTAGGATCTTGTCGCATGAGAGATCAGCCTGGTCCCCTAAATTATTGTACTCTACGCCGCGAGAGCGGTAAGAACTTAGTAATGATTAGCTAGGCTCAATTAAATTAAATTCATGTAAATTAGGCCTGATCTGCCAGAAATCTGGTTACCCCGGAATCAATCCCTGTTCCCTTCGTCGTTAATTGAGAAGAAACCACTTTTATTTTAATCGTTCATCTACATTAGTTTAATTTTAATTCACCAATCAATCTCGCACACTTGCATTTATTTATTTTATTTCTTTTTAATCGCTGAATTTAGTTAATCTTTAATTCCCTTTTGTCCGTCCCTGTGGAGACGATACTCGTACTTTCAACCACTTTACTACATCATTTTTAAGTGCGAGAAAACTCACATCAGAATGCCCACTATTGTTCGTAGAAAAAAGAAGATTGTTTTCTCCCAGTTAAAAGAGAGAATCTAGAGGAAAATTCAAGGTTGGAAAGAAAAGTTACTATCTTGGCCGGGTAAAGAAATCCTCCTCAAATCTATTGTCCAAGCAATCCCAACTTATATGATGAGCATTTTTCGAATTCCAGATGGAGTTATTGACGAAATCCATTCAATGATGGCTAGATTCTGGTGGGGAGCAAGTGAGGAAAATAAAAAAGTGCACGGATTGTCTTGGGAAAAATTATGCAAACCCAAGCGAGAAGGTGGGATGGGATTTAGAGATCTAAGGGTTTTCAATCAAGCTTTGTTAGCTAAGCAAGGGTGGCGGTTATTCAAACAGCCAAACTCATTTGCTGCACAGGTGCTAAAACAGAAATATTTCAAAAAATCTGATTTTTTGAATTCAGCAAGGGGTTATGACCCTAGTTATACCTGGAGAAGCATTTGGGGGTCGAAATCCTTATTAATAGAGGGATTAATGTGGCAAGTAGGCAGCGGGTCCAGTATCAAAGTGTGGGAGGACAATTGGATACCTGGAGATCCATCTTTTAGACGGCCTAAACTGAACTTGAACGTGGATGCAGATTTACGAGTATGTGATCTTATTGATCGTGAGAAGAAAGCGTGGAAAGAGGACATGCTAACAAACTGTTTTTCCGTAATGGAGGCAAAGAAGATAAGTAGTATTCCGCTGAGTTTAAGGTGCCCTCAAGATTCTCGCTATTGGTGGCCGACTAAAAATGGGATTTTTACGGTAAAGACTGCCTACTGGTTAGGTGTTCTAGGACCTGTGGGAATGAAAAGAGAGCCAATACAGTCAATCTGGAAGAATTTTTGGGACCTCAATATCCCCCCAAAGTTGAAACACTTCCTTTGGCGACTCGTTTCTGGATGCTTGGCAACGAAGGAGCACTTATGGAGGAGGAAAGCCACTGATGACCCAACATGCCCAGTGTGTGCAGGTATGACTGAGGACATTAGTCATATGTTATTTTTTTGTAAATTCTCTTCGCAGCTTTGGAAGAATGAAATCTGGGGAAATTTGGTCATGGTGGCACCGACTATGCCTGCAAAAGAACTATTAGGTTGGGCTATGAAGAATTTGAGTCAAGGGATCTATAGCTTCATAATTAATTGTTGGGCTGCGTGGCGCTGTCGAAACAAGGTGGTTTTTGAGCAAAAAGAACCACAAGTAGAGCTGATCTGGATGGGTTTCAATCAATATATCGAAGATTTTCAAACATATGCTTCAAATTTTGACAGCGCCAGAATCACATTTGAATAATAGACCCGAGAAGTGGAATAAACCATCTTCTGGCTTCGTTAAAGCGAACTGTGATGCAGCTGTGTTCAAAGGAGGAGGTGTGGATCTTGGAGCGATAATCCGAGATGAACATGGTGCCCTAGTCATGGAAGGAGTCAAAAGAATGGACATGAAGTGGGAGGCGGAGATGGCAGAACACGCAGCGGGAGTATATGCACTACAAGTTGCATACCAGGTGGGAGCGAGGAAAGTTATTCTTGAAAGTGACGCATTAAACTTCATTAAGGCAGCCTCATCAAGAAAGAAAGATGGTACTTCATTAGGAATTTTTTTGGAAGATATTTATCATTTTTGTTCTAAGTTTGATGTTGTTGAATTTTCACATGTAAAAAGAGGAGGCAATGTAGCTGCTCATCAAATGGCAAGAATGATGCCAGACAATGGTGTAGAACAAACATTTGTAAATGATCTACCAGAAAGTATTATTACGCTGGTAGAAATTGAAATGAATTAATATGAGTTTCCTTTAAAAAAAAACAGTGTTCAAACAGTGCACTCCACAGTAAAGTCAAATTTATATCTTAATATGTGTGAAGTCAAACCAGGAACTTAATTAAGAACCGGAGGGAGTAATTTATAATTATTGTATATGTATATAATTTGATGACTCCTTCCAGTTTACACTTTGCCACTTTGTATACATTTATAATATTTACTAATTCGGTGTATGTGCCTACAAGGGAAGATCTTCATAGGGTGAAGCCCAGCCCAATTTGTCTTACTTTTTACTCCGTATTTATATGTTTAGCCCATCTAAAAAATACTCAAAAGTCAAACAGTTTGCTGACTCAAACCCGCTTGCCCAAAAGTCTTACATTTGTCGAAAATTTGTGTGGATTTTTGGATTATGACTAAACTTTATTTTGTCAAAAAAGTGGCATTGTTTTGTATTGGTATGGCATGGTACCGTACCGTTTGAATTGGAACCATACCGAACGGGTTTGGGTCTAAAACCGAACCGAACTGAACCGTTTCAAAAGTAACAGTCCGGGTACGGGTTTTGTCAAATACCGGACCGAACCGGACCGCGCCCACCCCTATAATACAAACATATAGTTTGGCCAGATTAGGTATTTTAACGTTCTAATAGAGCAAATGTACTTGATTGACTATAAAAATACAAATTCATGTACTTTAAAATTCAAATGCAAGATGAAGTACTGCTTACTCCTGTAGATACAACTTCATGTACCATTGTGACCATTTTCTTATAATTAATCTATCAATTCTATTTTCCTCTCGTCCAATCGTTTTCACTTTCCCTCTTCATCTTATATTTTTCTCGTCTGCTATCCCTTCTCTCCGCTCTACATCTTAGGATGTTTTTACTTGACTGTAATTTGCCCCAGACCAAACCAGACTAGATCAGACCAGACCAGACTTGGATAGTTATAAAAATACAGAGAAACTAGACCAGACTAGACCAGTTCAGACCAGACCAGACTAGACCAGTTCAGACCAGACCAGACAATTACAGTCAACGTAAAAACATCCTTATATATCTCTCGTCTGCTATCTTGTCGGCTTCTTCTTTTTGCTCTATTTTATTATCTACTTCTCTTACAATAATAAAGATGGACTGATAGTAAATAAAAGAAGCCGATGGGATAGCAGGAAGAGAAGACGAAAGGGAAGGGAGAGCAACACGGGCGGAGCTAGAGGGGGCGAACCTAGGTCCTGGCCCACCTCAAATTTAAAAAATGCTTAAATTTTAAAGTAAAAATTTTGTATAATTTTTTCCCACAAATTGTCTTTGTACTACTCCAGTCCGCAATCAGCTACTTTAAAGTTCTTATAGAGAAAATGTATTTGATTGACTATAAAAATACAAGTTCATGTACTTTACAATTTCAAATGCAAGATGAAGTACTACTTACTCCTGATAATACAACTTCATGTACCATTTTGACCATTTTCTCATTAATATTTTAATGACTTGGACTGCAACCATATAATACAAACATATAGTTTGGCCAGATCAGGTATTTTAACGTTCTAATAGAGCAAATGTACTTGATTGACTATAAAAATACAAGTTCATGTACTTTAAAATTTCAAATGCAAGATGAAGTACTGCTTACTCCCGTAGATACAACTTCATGTACCATTTTGACCATTTTCAAACAATAGCGAGTCTTTGGCTCTATTGGAAATGATGGGTCCCACAGTTGAGGATGCCAACAACCAAGAACATGATATTCCATCAAGCTCATACCACAATATTTTCTCCATGAAGAGTTGTTGCTGCCCGATACCAGTTCCACTTTACCTGGGTTTCTCACCACCTAGATGATTTCCTGAGGCGGAGGAGGGGGAGATTGGATTGGGACGGATGAAGTTAGTAACCAGAAAGATGAAGCATTGGTGGGCGGATTACTACCTCCACCTCACTCGAAACAAAGTGTTTGTTGGAAGATGATACTGGTGTTGTTGTGTACTTGTGTGAGTGTTCGACTCAAATGCCTGAGTAGGTTAGGTCGCATCTCTCTTTCAAATTTTGAGATCTACCCATAAATAGACACTATCTCTGACAAAATTCAATCTAGTTTATGCAATTGACATCTGAGTAATGGCATGATTCAATTTCAAACAAGTTTTTGTGTGTTCTTTTAAAAGAAGTTGATCAAAGTAGGACTTTAACATGGACAATGCACAAAAATAGGAGTAGGTATGTTTTATTCCCTGAATATGACTTATTTGCCCTAATAAAAGAATAAAAACGATAAGAACTTCATAAATTATGAGTGAATGAGTCATATTTGAGGAAGAGAGCATTGACACTATTTGAGAAATCATGTTACGTTTAATGGGTTGGGTTCTGCATCCATCCATTAGACTTTACACCCCACATTGTGCAACCTTTTAACATTTGAATTTGCACCCAAACACAGAAAATGGGGATCAAAATCACATGCAAGACTTGGGAATTATTTTGTGTTTGTAATGCGTGGATTTTGAGTATTTGAAGGTGAGATAGATAATGCAAGTTAATAAATGATACCTGGGGGAATAAATGATGATTCATCAAACGGGCGGCTGGAGTCCAGTGGTAAGGATGATGGGGACGATGATGATCTGCCTTGCAAGTCTCCAAGTATAGCAGCAGCAGCCATGGACATTGAGCCACTTCCCATGTCTGCCGTGTCACTCATCCCCCGGGTAAGCACAGATTTCAAACCATAGGTTGTGGACCAAGATCCTCCGTTAGAACCCGCTAATGCCATTATCAGATCTGCCTGAACAGACATACATATCACATAGCAAGTCACATGCAGATACACACCCGGCCCGATTCACTACTTGTTTGGACATTAATTCTTTGCCCAATATATCTAAAAAGGCTTATTATTTAGATTTATTTGGCATTCCATCTTTTTTATTTTTATGATTGTATAATTGGGCAAGGCTTGGTCCCCCAATTCCGTTTTATTTTTATCAATCTTCTTTAATGTATTTCTGAAAGGGTATGCCCTTTCTTGGAGAGGTTTGCCCTTTCTTGGAGAGGTTTTGATCTAGTCTCCCTCTTCATATGTATTTTTCGCTCATTTTAACAAAATCTGGCAAATGCTCCCTCACATTTGCCTCAATGATTTTGGTGGTTTGCCTACAAGGATAAAAAAAAATAAAAATAAAAATGCCTCTGGCAAATTAGCTCATAATGGCTTTTGCGATTTTAAAAATTATATCAAAATAATACCCCAGCATAACTACCCAGCACGAGAAGAGAGCAAATGAGAAAGTAATCAAGCTCTTTACACCGACTCACAATCATATAATTAACTTGAGATGGTAATACACACACACACACATATATAGATCAAGCTCAACATTCCTATTAAATGAGAGCCTTGGAATTTTGTGGAGTTCAAAACTTGGAGAGTTTTCCTTCCCTTGTTAACCCTTTCATGCATATTTTATTAGCACAACAAAGCTCCCTTTTACTCTTTTTACATGCATATGAATACCTTCATTAGTTATCTTCACTTAACAAATGAAGTAATTCAAATCAAATTAGAATAAAACCAATCTATGTTATGAATCAACCATCACCAAGGAAGAATGAAGAAAAATAGTGATTAAATTCCTGATTCGGGGCCATCTCCGTAGTTAAAAGGAATTGGGAAACCGTTTCACCAATAATTAGCATTAGTGAAACTTCAGATTTTCAATTTTTTCCTTTTAATTTTTTGAAGAAAAATAGTGTCTTTTTTTAATGAAGTTTTGTAGCCAGAGAACTGACATGTTCTGGTGCTGATGCCGCTGAAGGGGAGAACTGAGTCTGGCAAAAAATGAATGACTGATTGGAGAAGATGGCGGAGTCCAAGAGCTGTCGGCCTGTCATTGCTATAGCCCGTGGAGAACGACAACCCCTGTGTAGAAGTCTGAGGCTGTGACCCTTAGAGAGGGGTGCCAGAGAGAATGCCAGAGGTTGCTGCAGGCACTGCCATTGAAGGTGGCACCGCCGTTGAAGGTGGCACAACCATGATGGAGGATGATGCAGCAATGGCAGCGGTATATATAGTAGAGGTTGACATGGTTTCCGAAAAGAAATTATAATTAGGGTTGTAAAGCATATAGGATGTTTTTACTTGGGACTGTTTTCATACCATGTTAGAATAATTAACATGGCAGTCCTCAGTCCTATGTATAATGATGAAAGAATAGTACAACTTACATGATAACCCATGAAGTCTTAAAACTATTCTATTACTAAACTATTACCTAGTTCTGAGTGGTATATACCAGGTATGTTTAGTTTGGATACTTACTCCTTCCGCCACCAAAAGAAACAAAAATCCTTTTCAAAAAGCCCTCTATGTCCCCAAAAAAGAGTCGTGTTTCATAAAAAACTTATTCTTTCATACAAGTTTCCAAAATATGTCACACAAGCTAAATAAGATAAATTTAGTTGAACCAATTGAAAAATCTGATTTCAGCTCTCTTAAGAGTTGTGCCTTGCTAGACCAAAAAATTGTACCTTAGCCACACAAAGCCATTTTTGGGAACTGTAAGTGTATAAACTAAAAGTGAATGTTTCAAAACTTGTCATTTCTGTTCATTAAAAAACAATATATATATATATATATATATATATATATATATATATATTAAATAAGCATAAGACAAACCTTGCTGGGATGCACATCATCAAAAACATGGGCTTGACCGTTGTAAAAAATCGTCATCTGATGACCAGTAGGTCCGACTCGGTACCTGCCGTCATTAAACAAATGTAAGGGAAGAATTGTCATTTTATCCACTGCTTCAAATTCTTTTATTGATAAATATCTTGGTAAATTTACCCAGGATTGGGAGATTCAGCAGGATCAGAGGTTCGAATCCCAGAGTTCTGTTTAGTCACACTTAGTGGGACCTCAGAGAGTGTCCTATCTGACATTCTCAACACTCCTGACCCTTTGATTCCTGTTCTTGACCCTTCATCAGCAGCTGCTTGAGATATAAGCAAACGACTGGCAGTATTGGTGTCCCTACTAAACCTGTTGGGCGGTGTTTGGTACCCGAAAGGCACAACTTGGGTGGTATGTGGAGGGTATTTCAAAGCAGTAAGGGGATTGAGTGGGACCCATTTGGAAGTAGAAGTAGTAGAATAAGTTCTAGTAGCGCCCATGGAGGGAGATGATGAAAACGGCCTCATTGGATCGTGCCCTCTGAGTGACGGTTCTTCATTGTGTGATGACGCCCTACATTTCTCTCCTCCTGCACCACTCCGCAGTAGCTGAACTTCAACAAAACTCCCCCGTATCAAAGTAAGTAGCAATTTGGTAACCACTTTTTCATGCTTAGATTAAAAAAAAGTATTCAAAAAATCTCACCGGTATCTTTCCTTTTTTGGAGATACTTTTTCTTTACTGTATCAGTAACAAATAGCTGATGTATATGTGTGTGTGTTCCATAGTTCAGCAATGTCACAAACTTTATCAATATCAACTTCAATTTCAAAAACCAAACAGGCCGTAAAGACATGTAAAATTGTGTATACTGTGTTACAGACCTAGCCCATACTAGGCCCATACCAGTGTCATAAGCCCGGGCGTAGAACTCACTTCCAAAGACCAGCCGATTAGGAGGATGGAACACCTTGCTTATAAGCCACCGGTAAAGCCCATACTTGACCGGTGTGAGATCGTTACAATACCCCAAGCTTCGAAGAGCCAACGTCTCCGTTGGTCACGGCTATGTTGGTCACGGTTGGCACCCCCAGGGTCCAAGCCACCACTGCATAGGCCACCACTCCGAGGGTCGGGACTAGGAAGATGGGGATGGCTCCGATACCAATTGTTACAGACCTAGCCCATACTAGGCCCATACCAGTGTCATAAGCCCAGGTGTAGAAATCACTCCCAAAAGACCAGGTGATTAGGAGGACTGGAGGAGGGAACACATTGCTTATAAGCCACCGGTCAAGCCCATACTTGAGCGGTGTGGGATCGTTACATACTGCTGGGCAGTACAAACAGAGACGTTCAAGGTTAACCTACTTGGACCACAAGGAAAGAACAGAGATTGAACAAAAAGTAGAATTTTGAAGTATGAACAGAAGGCCCAAATCGAGTGCATGTGTAATATACATGTCGGTTTTCATTAATAGTAAATGCTATTGTGATTCCACTGTTTTACCAAGGGAGGGCAAGAAAAGAAAAAAAAAACACCTTCATCACATGTGAGGATGCAAGTGAATCGGGTTGAATGGCGGGAAATCTATCTTTACAAGACACCATATTAGAATCTGAACTGCACCTCTTACTTCCCGAGAAAGCGGCGTAACTTGACTGTGGTCCTGTAAAATTAGCCACACAAGGCTAGAATCTCAAAACAGTAACAGGAAAAGTTGTCACGATCTTCTACCCTTTTTGTTTTAAAAATCCACCAGTGCATTCTGGAACAGTGCTATTACAGTATTACCTAAACTGAATCATAATCTAACACATAAAGAAAACCATTTGCTCACTCTACCAGTCCGTGAGTGACATAAAATTGCATAGTGATCATTTACTAGAAGAAGACACATGGTGTAACCATGGTTTTAACTTTTAAGTTGTGGGCCGCAACACGTGGATGTCGTGGAAGACACATCGTTGTAACCATGGTCTTAAATTGCGGACCACAACACGTGTGCGACAGGAATATTGCGGTTACGGCCTGCGGCGCAACCGCATCACCCCGCAATTGCGGTGTTTAATAATTCACAGCCAAAACCGCAACGTAACTGCGAAGCAATCACAACGTAACAGCATCCGTGTCGCATCAGGACCGCAACACAATTATTTTTATCTTTTTTCTTTCGAACGTACAATTAATTCACACCACATCTGCCGCAATAAGCATCGCAGTGATCGCAATAGCAGTGACCGCAGCCACAATTTAAAACCATGGTTGTAAACCCACCTAATCTCGACTAATCCCCAACCCCAATTATTGTAGACATAATGCCCTAGCAATTAGCTAGCAAGCCCTTTAAAGGATGTCTAGCGAACACTGCCTACCATACAACCACTCCCCCCAAAAAAATTGACATTACAAACTACAACCATACAGTAATAATCAGCTTATAAATTCAAAAACATTTATGCTAATAAAAAACACCTTAGTGCAGAAACCTTAGGAATTCATTAATCTTTGTGAAAAGTAATCTCATTCACGTTCCAAATAATTAAAATATTTAAAGATTCTAAGAGGCCGTGCTAACCCGAACACATATCTGAAGCGGTGGAAACAGGGCCACAACCGCCGCCAGAGAAGACGCCAAGAGAGGCGCAAGAGGCCACCGGGTATGGCTCCAAAAAGGGCGGCCTCACGGAGGAGGAGGCGGCCGGAGAAAAATCTGGGGCGCACCCTTTGCCCAGGAAATCATGATAGATAGTGTTGCCCTTCAGTTCTTCAGCAGAAAGTTTGGAGTTGGCGTTGCTGTTAGGATGGGCCATAGAAATGCAAGAGACTAAACAACCATCAAGGAAGCGCTCTTTTCTTCTTTATCCAAAACAAACACAAAACATGATTCATCTCCCTTGATTGGTGAGCTCCGCTAAAGACTGCAACTCCACGAGAACAGAAAGCTAAAACAGACAGAAGAGGGTTGGGGGAGGAAGCACGATTTTCAGTAAAGACGATTACACTGACAGGGTTTCATTTGCTGTTTTAAGACAACTTTTTTGACTACCCGCGGAATATTTCAACTTTCACGTGAAAAAATCTGTTTAAGTAATGATGATGACGAGGAATTAGGATGTTTTGGGAAATTTGTAAAATTAGTCCTCTAACTTTTGGTGGTGCCCGATATTGATCCTATAATTTCATTTACTTGCATAATACGTTCTCTAATTAACATATTTGTCCAATTTCAGGACATTTATGTCGGAAAGTAATAATTCCGCCGGAAATTAACACATCAGTGCCACTTGTTCATTTTTTTCCATATGGCCTACCTGACCTGGACTTGAGACCCGGTTTTTGGTTCCCTCCCAAACACTCCTTATTTTAAAACATCCTGCACATAAAGAAAACACTCTCTGATTCATAAAACATTAAAAAAAATAGCTAGATTAAACTGAATACGGAGTAGTAGATTATACATCTTCAATTTATTTCTTATAAATTCCAAATACGAAATTGTAACAGTGAACATAAAGAAAAAACTGCACATCAGGCTATTTTTTTTTTAATTCTTGACACTTATCAATTTTAAAAGCCTCCATTTGTAACCATAGAAACGGTCCAGGTAAAAGACAACTCGTTAGTTTTGCTAATCAGCTATTATTCTTGTTCCAATGTCTTGTTAAACCTTTAACATTATACTACTATTTTTTTTCTCTTATATCAAAGTAATACTACATATAAAATATTTAATTTTTTCAAGCAAAATTCGATACCTACAAAACTAAAAAGTTTAGAGTTCTTACTTTGTTTATGGAGCACACATGGAACCTCCTTCCCTCGCCATATATCAGTCTATAAAGTTAAAACACCGGCCTTCTTACCACAATGATATTCCATAGATCCTTGCCTGAGCCATTATTTGCACTTTAGAGGAACACACACTCACCTTCCTTCCATATGTGGAGAAGCCGGACCAAGAATTACGAAGCCTCCGTTCTTCTCTTAGGTTTTGTGCTCTTATTGTTCTAATGGAGGGTTTGGGAGATCAGAGCACAATGAAGTGTTTGGGAATAAGTCATAAAAGGGGCCCACATCCAAGTCAGCTGAAAACGTTAGGAAAAGATTACAACAACGGGAGATTGACATGTAACTTTCCGGTCAAAATTTAACTTTCCGACGGCAATGTCCTCAAATTGAACAAATATATTGGTTGAAGGATGTATTTTGCAAGTATGTAAAGTTATAGGATCAATATCGGCTATTGGCCAAAGTTACAGGACTCTTTTAACAAATTTCCCGGATGTTTTTAACTATATGAGTATATATATTGAGTCAAAAAACAAAAAAAAAAACTACGTAGTATATGAGTATATTAAAATTTTGAGTTAATACCCTAAATAGGTCGAAAAAGTGACTCAAGAGTACAAATAGAATTACATGTTTTTTATTCTCTCTAATAGGACTATTTATGTGTATTTGGACAAATATACCCTCAAGGCTTTTGAAATATCTTAATTAATAATAAAATCATAAAAAATAATAATAACGTAAAAATATTATTAAAAATGTAAAAAATATTTATAAAAAAAATTAAAAAAACAATTAAAAAAATTAAACAGGTAAAAAAAACGTTGCCGCCTCTGCCACCCCAGCACCACCAGCTCCCATCATCGGTTGGAAATTTGCCAACATTTGTAGTAATGCCTAAATAATGGCAGATTCAATTAGAATTTGGCATTATAAAGAGTAATAATGCCAGTTTCTTGGCATTTTCATAAAACAATGACATTTTTTTACAAATAATGGCAGAATTTTCACCAATCAGAGTTATCCATATTTTTTTAATTTTTATAGTTTTTAATTGTTTTTGATTAATTTGTTTTAAAAAAATATTTGCCAACAATTCTAGTAATGCCATAATAATGGCAGATTCAATGAGAATTTGGCATTATGAAGAGTAATAATGTCATTTTCTTGCCATTTTTGAGAAAAAATGGGTTTTTTTTTATAAAAAGTGGCAGAATTTTACAAATCGAAGGTGTGGTGCTGGGAGGCGGTGGGAAAGGTATCCATATTTTTTTTAATTTTTTTAATTGATTTTTATTGTTTTTTATTATTTTTTAAAAAAATAATTTCAAAAAACAATATTTAAATTTTTAATTTTTAAAATATTTATTAATTTTGTTATTGTTTTATGATTTTAATTTTTTTTTACGATTTTTATTATTTTATAAGATTTTATTATGAATTATAACATTTTAATATGAAATAATATCCTTAGGGGCATTTCTGGTAGGAATGAATTGTTTAATCCTATTTTGGATGGTAAAAAATGTAGTGGTCCTATTTGTGCATTTTAGGTTATTTTTAGTCTTACATAGAGCAATTACTATAAAATTTTCTAACTTGGGATGTTTTCTTTTGGATTGAAATTTGTTGGTCTGGTCTGCTTTGATCTAGTCTGGTCTGAGTTGGTATGGTCTGGTAAATGTCTGGTTTCCGTGTATTTTATAACTACGGAAGTCTGGTCTGATCTGATCTGGTCTAGTTTGATCTCATCTAATGTGGTCTGGTACTGAAAATCGTCCAAAAGAAAACATTCTTGGTCTGGTTCGATAATCTCCTATAATCAAATTTAGTTTGATGTGATCTTTTAGATGTTTATTTTATTTATAAATTATCATTGTCTAAGTTCGCACTGATTGATCTATTTGTGAGGTCTTATTTGGTCTAGAATTGAAATTAGTCATATTAAAAACATTTTTACTTCATAGCAAATTCTTGATTAATTTTTATCCACTCCCATCCAATTTTGACAAAAATGTTATTGGTTTTTATATAATAGAAAATTACATTAAATGGGATAAAATATAGGAATCTTCCCCTCTGTTCTAAAAATCGTTCTAGGCGCCCGATTAGTCCCCGCCTAGGCGCCCGATTAGTCCCCGCCTAGGCGCTAGGCGCTAGTCGGGCGCCCCGATTTTCGTCTTGGCGCTCCGACTCAGGGGCAGAGCCAGGATCTAGGTTCAATGGTGTCAGTTGAGAAAATAATTATTATATCAAAACGTGTAAATATTATAAAACAAAATAAAAAAATTGTCATTTATAAAATTGAAATGCTAATTCAAAATTTTGCACGTCGCATTTTCATATTTTAAAAACGTTATACATTTTTTTTCTATCAAGTTTTGATCAATATAAAGAAAGAAGACTACAACACCTTGTCTAATATAGTAATATTCCTAATAAAGTATCATCTTTCTCATTTTACATGTCTTAATTTTTTTTTTGGATTATCCCAAAATAGGTGTCATGTTTCTTATTTTAAAAACAAATATGTGTTTTACAACATTTCACTTTATTATACTCAAACTTGATTAGCATTATTAGTTTTTCAATCACTTTATTATAATTGTGTCAAACCAAAACAAGACACATAAATTGGGATGAAGGTAGTAGTAATAAGTAAAACTGCACACTTTTCAATTATTTTTAAGTTCATGTTTCAACTTTTAAAATATATACACTGACCTCCAATTTTGAAATGGTTGTGTCCATTTTTAATTTTTGAAAGATTATATAATTATACTCCGTATATAGTTTTTTAGAAAATTCTCTAAATAGGACTAAAACATAGATAAAATTTATAAATAAGAATATCAATGTTTTATTCCCAAAATATGACTCATTTGCTCCTATTAGGGAAGTTTTAATCATGTTATTCTTTTGATGATAGAACTAAATAAGCCCTATTTGGAGAATAAAACACAATAATTCCTATTTGTTTTACTTTGTGTATGTTTTAGTCTTATATTAAACAATTTCTACTTTTTTCAGTGGTGTCAATTTTAATTTTTTGAAATATTATATATACCTATATATGAAGAAAAAAAGTTGAGTGGTGTCAATTGACACCACAACTCATAGTGTGGCTCTACCACTGCTCCGACTAATTGGTTTGTCGTCTAGGTGAATTAGTCGGCCGCCTATGGCGCCTAGTTGCCTGCCTAGAACGTCTAATCGGTTGCCTAGGCCTTCTGGATTTGCCGAACATTACTTTAGTTTTTAATTTTAATTTTTTAAGCGATATACGTACTTTAAATTTAGCCATGGATATAAAGAAGTGAAGTTGTAAATTAAGGTAAAACTATACATGTTTGTAATTTTTTCATTATTTATATTTATAACATAATGAAATTAAGTGATTAGTTATCATATACTATGTATGATTAAATGTGATAATTCTATCTTTCATGTTTGTTAATGTATATGTATATATGTATTTTATACACACAAAAATACAATATTACTTATCATATTTATGCAAAAATATAGATAAAAATGTAATTTCTATGTCTCCGACTAGGCCCCCGCCTAGCCGCCTAGGCGCTAGGCGCTGGTCTGGCGCCCGACTAATGCCTAGCGCCTTTTAGAACATTGATCTTCCCTAAATAGGACTCAGTGTTTTATTTTCGTTAAATAAACTAAACATTATGACAGAGTATATGGGCCCAGATTCTATGGCCCACATACTCAGAAGACTAATATAAGACAGCTAGCACTTGACCGGTCCCATCGGCCAGACAAAGCGATTCACACAGCTCAACCCGAGAGCTCAGGAACGAAGATCGGCGCCTCCCGTGCTTGGGCACCCATCGGCCAGGCCCTCCCTCTACCAGTGTTTCACTAATAGCTTGTATTTTATACTTAGCTCTGGAAATCATGTAATCAGTCCATTAGAGGCCTTATATTATACTAGGCCTCCCAGGCTCGAGACCTGGGAGCCCAACCCACATTTCCTTTATAAATACTCCCCTTGGGAGGTAGTTGTAGGGATTGAGAAATATTAATTACAAGCGCTCTCTATCTAGCTCGAACTTCTCTCTAGATCTATACTCTATCATTTGGTGCTTTCATTGAGAGCTAGAACAATCAAGTCAGCCCCCCTCGTCGCAATGAGACACTGCTAACTACAATGGGAAAGACAAAATCAAATAGGAACGTCGTTGGCAAGACTCTCCCTGACCCTCGTGCTCAACATGAGAGATCAGGAGATGCTACGGCTGGCAAGGC